GTGGGTGGGCGATTGGCTCTGATTTGGCTGTTAAACTCTGCCATGGACACAGCTGGGCACTGGGCCCAGCTCTGGAGCATCATCTTCTCTTATCACAGGTGAGGCACTGGAGAGGCTGCCAGCAGAACCCAAGCCCCCAATTTCTCAGGCCTGAGGCAGAGATCTCAGCTGCCAGCCTGGTGGCACCTGCCTCTCCCTTGGGGTCGCCTGAGGAGTGCAGTACGGAGGAGGCCTAAGGTGCCTAGTGGGAGACGGATCACAGCCTGTGACATCATGGCTGTTCCATGTCACTTCATTGGGTCATCCCTGCTCCTTCCCGAGTAGTCTTGGCCGAAACAGGAGGGAAATTGGGGGAGGGGAAGGCAGAGCTTCACAAAGGAAGAGGCAGGAATTCTGGTTGGAAATCATTCAAATGAGGCTATGAAACCAGAACCCTGTCTCAGAACAAATTGGCCAGATTTGGCCTGGGGCTGAGGACAAAGCCAGTGGAGGAGGTGGGGTCTGCCGTGGTAGGGAGGGCTGGGCAGGGCTTCAACCTGTGGCCCCAAGAGAGTCCAGGCTCGGGATATGATGGCTGCCAGGGAAGTCAGGCCTGTTACCCCTTTGGGTCACTCTGTGGGTCGCCTGCCATGCTAGAGGAGCAAAGCAACTCATCTGAAATGTCCTGGGGGGAAGGAGTTTGGTCCACTACTGTCACCCTCTAGGGTTGCCAAGCTATGATCCTGCCAGCTACCTGTCCCTGCCTCTCTTCCTGCTGTATATCTGCCACTCAAAGTTCCCATCTCTGTCCTAATGATTCATTCAAACTTTGTCTGTTTCTGCTGGGGCAGACGTAGGTCAGAAATGGAGGAGGGTGGGCCACCAAGGCCCTCAGAGACCTATCAAAGGAGCTGCTGTGTGGCAGAGGCGACCTTGGAGGGGTCACAAGGGTTCACAAGCCGCCTGGAAAGGACCTAGGCCTGTGGGATGAGGGATGGGGTATGGGGGAGCCGTCCAGGAGCTGGACCAAGAGGGGAGCGGCAAAGGCAGGAGCTTCCGGTCCAGCTGGCTGGGAGCCGCAGGCAGAGCCCAGGGAGCTCTTTTGAGGGAGAAGTGCTGTCTGTCTGCTCCTTGTGGTCTGGTGTCTGGGCCCCTCTCTGGGAAGAAACAGGGATGCTTGGCCTCCCATCCTCCATGCTCCTCTTTTAGACTCAAGGGCCAAAACCAAGTCTCAGAGCCAGTTGATGCAGGTCTCAGACACAAGCTGGGACACAGGGTTCCCGCCTCCCTTCTCCTCATCTTGGCCCTGGAGTGTTTCTGTCGTCCTGCACCTCAAACACTATCTGATCAGGCTGGCTTTGGCCTTGGTCCATGATAGGCACTTTTACCATCTGTCCTACCCATCCATGGAGAAGGGCCAGAAACTGAATGGGACCCCCTGCCCACTTGTCCCTGAGACCACTAACCGTCCAGAGGAGGCCTTACTCCCCATCGGCTCCAGGGTGGGGGTCTCAGAGGCTCCCACCCAGATAGAAGCTTCTAGAATTCTCTGTATTCCCTTCCATGTGGCTCTCAGGAGTTTCTCTAACCAGCCCCTCAGAGTATGGGCCTCAGTCATACTCTCAACACTGCCCATCCCGCTTAGGTGGACTCTCAGGGCTCTCTCTATCTTCCTCTGTCCCCCATGCGTGCTTCCCAAGACCCCTTCGCATTTCCCAGTAGAGCCCTCAGAGAAAGGTGCTTCTCAGGGAACGGGGCAGCCGTCAGCTGCCTGGACTTCTGGTGAGAGGGACCTTGCTTCTGACCCTTCCTTGGGGATCAGGCTGGGCCTAGACCTCTCTTCTCATCCTTTCAACCCCTCCTCTCAACTGAGGGCGGGGTATGAGAGAGCTAGAAGGGGATGGGAGGGCCAGTAGAGGTGGGGGAACCGGTCCTATGTTGTTCTTGGCGTGGAGCCCCCAGCCCCAGGGAAATCCTGACTCTGTGGAAAACTGAGCAGGCAGTCAGGCTGAAGGGGGGCTGCGGGAGGAAGAGGAGGAGCGGGAGGAGGACCAGGGGCTCAGGGTGAAGTGGGGGTAGGGGCTCCGCTCATAAATCAATCCCACCAGCGTCTCAGGCCTGACAAAAACCAGAGACCCTGGGTCCCTTGGGGGCTGGGGAGGGGGCACAGACCATCTTTGGATTGTGGGGGAGGAAAGGCTGCACTGAGGGCCTGCATCCTGCTCAGAGGCCTCAGCCTCCAGCCCCCCCAAATAACAGGTGTGTGTGTGTGTGTGTGTGTGTGTGTGTGTGTGTGTGCGTGTGTGGTGGGGGGAGGTTCTGAGAAAGCAGCTTCACAACTACCAGAGGAACTGGGGTGACTCTGACGGATTGATGGGGGAGGAACCTCGCAGGGCTGCAATTCCGAGCACTTTTATTGCCCAGAATCTGGCCTGGCTGGAGCCTGAGGAACCCTGCGACTTCAGTTATTTCACTTCTCTGGGCTTTAGCTTCCTTGGCAGGGCTGGAGCAGAGCTTAGAGAGGCCTGACCCCCCAACTCCAGCCTCACATGTGACACGCTGGCCCTTCCAGTGCCTGACTGAGCAAAGGACCCCACTCTGGAGTTGGAGGGACCCCGGTCTAGGTTCCCCCAATTAAGCCCTGCTGCAGAGTGTGGGACAGCACCTCGCAGGTCCTCAGTGGGTGTCTGTAAGCTGGGGGTCCCGAGGCCTCCCCGACAGGGCTGTCGTGCTGGTGGGCGAGACATTATGTGTGCAGTGTCCACCCAAGCATTCTCAGTGGAAGGCTGTCGGTTACTTTGTTCACGTCCACCCCTTGAGTGTGTGCAGGTCTCAGCCTTCCAAAGTTCACCTTCCTCCTCGATAGTCAAGTATTCGCATGAGTTCAGGGGCACTAAGGTAGCCCCTTGCAGCCCCAGGCTCCTTTCCATGAGGAAACCCTAGGAGGTATACAGGGTGATCAGGGGAGCCCAGTCCTTCCTCTGAGCATGAACAAACCCATCGGATTGGCAGAATAGGGAAGGGGCTGGCTGGACCCTCCCGGAAACCTCACCCTGGGTTCTTTTCCACAAGGCCCTGCCTCCCTCCAGGATTTCATAGCCTCATGCAGTCCCAAGGCGTCCTGCAAAGGTGATGGAAGCAGAGGCCAGACTGTGCTGGGTGACTCTTGTGCAGGCCAGAGCTGGTGTGGTTTAAGGGATAGGGCCTCAGGGGTGAAGGGTATGTGAGGAGAGAGGATGGCTGGTGGGTTCCAAAACAGTCCCTTTCCAAAAGTGTGTTGTCCACTAGACACCAGCCTGTGAAGGTGAGGTCAGCACAGGCATGGATTGGTGTTGCTGTGGCCCTCTGGGCCCCTGGCAGCTAGTCTCACCTTCACCCCAGGTGACATTCCTTCTTGTCAGCTGGGAATGTCTAGAGGCATCACTTCCCAGACAGCCAGGTCCTTGCAGCCTCCTGCAGTTGGGCATCATCTTGCTTGACCCCTCCCAGCGACGGGCTACTCAGGACTTGCCAAGGCAGCCCTTCCTAAGCTGGGCAGCTGAGATGGCTGAGAACTTCTAAGTGGAGAATACACAACCGGCATTCATTGCTGGCCCCTCGAGGGGGTGAGGAGGGGCTCAGGAGCACAGCTGTGGAGGGAGGCGGGCAGGGCCCAGGGTTCCAGGGAGAGGGCTCAGGCCCCCATTTGAGTCTCTGCCCTGCTCACTCACTCACTGTGCAGCCTTAAGGAGCCTCTCCCTCCTCCAGCCTTGAGTTCCACAACTGTAACTTTAGGGGCTGGGCGCGGGGACTTCTAAGGACCCTGCTCCCTGTGACGGATGCTCTTCCCTGAGTCCATGAATGGCTGGCACAGTGGGAACAGACCTTGGTCCACTGGGCTGGGCTGGCTCAAGAGTGCTCAGAGAATGAGCCTTGTGTGGGGACAGCACAAGGTCCCCTTTCATTTCTCTGGGCCCCCAGCTCTCCCTCCTGCCAAGGTCAACCCAACCCTGACCAGTGGGTCACGACCGCCTGGGGCAGTTGAGGTCAGAGGCTGGGGACTTGGGAGGAGCCCAGTAAGGACGTTCAGACTCCTGTCCTCTCATCCAGGGTCAGGGTATGACGACTGCAGCTCTGTGTGCCCTAACTTCCTGAAAGTGACCCAGACCTCCCTCTGCACCCTTCCTGCAGCCTCGGTGGTCCCTGGAGACCCCTCTGACTGTGGTGTCAGACAGGCCTAGTATGGAATCCGGACCAGCTGCTTACAAGCACAGTGACCTTGGGCAAGTCCTGCTGCTTCTCCTCAGGATGTCAGTGGCTCCAGTGGCCGCCTTGCAGGGTTTTGGGGAAGAGAAGGTCACGAGTGAATGCCCTGGCCATGCCTGAAGCCTGCGCTCCATGAAGAGCAGCTGTGATGCTCATTATCATAGGCCCAGCAAAGGCAGAGAAGATGCCAAGAAATCCGGACCAGACTGGACTCCTCCTGCTGCCTCAGCCTTCCCTCTCTCGATCTGTTTGTCCATCGGGGAATTGGGGGCTTCCAATTCTCAGGCCCTAAAATCTGCACAATTTAAAGTAGTCAAAACAAACCCTCCACTCACTCTATTTATGCTGAGAGAGAACAAGCTCCTGGCCAGCCCTAATGGGTTCCAGGTGTGCTCTGTGCCCTGCAGCGCCCAAGCCGGCCGTCGTGGTGGTGGCTGTGACTTTCTTTGCCCACTGGCTGGGGAGACTCTGCAGCCCTGGCCTCCAGCCTGTGCAAACGGTGGTGTTGGATCAGGCCCTACCCAGACATCAATCTTGGGCTCAGAGGCCCTAGGTTCAAAGCTCCGAGAGCCACTGTCCCCACCCTTGGCAGCATAGGGATCTCCTGGACTCCTGCCTTGACCCCAAGAGGCGGGGGGAGGCCTGAATTTTCATAGACCTGTAAAACTCTCTCTCACAGGAGGTTGAGCATGGGAGTGACCTCCCAGAGAGGCTCTGGGTACCAGGTGGCAGCCCAGAGGGCACGAATGAAGTTTCCTTTATTATCATTATGTATTAATTATTATGTTATATAATCAGAGTGACAGCGTCGCTTATTAATGGCAAATCTTGGGCCAAGTAGTGTGGCCGTGCAGGGCTTGTCCTCACGGCCAGGCATGGTGAGGGACGGCCAATGTGATGGGGAATGGAATGAGGAGGCTCATAGAGAAGGAGCCTCGCCCAGGTCATGCGGAGGCTGCAGTGGGACCGGAGCTCATAGCTGTCTGACCTCAAGGCTCAGCTCTGCTCTCCAGACTGGACAGGGTCTTTTGGTTCCCCTTTGCTCAGGGGCAGGCCCAGCCTTTCCTTAAGGGTGAAAGAGGGACCCGAGTCTGTGCACGTGATCGTGGGAGGATCAGGTGTGTGGGGAGCTGAGCATGGTGTGACTCCTCCTGGAAGTGATGATGCCAGCGGCTTAAACCCCCCTCAATAGTGCGTACAGCAGGTTCCCATCCCTGACCCCCAAATTCTCCCAGTCTCAAGCTTTAGCCATGCTTGCCACCTAGGTGAACACTCTCTCCCAGTCTCTTCACCCACCCTAGATAGAGCCAGCCCCTTCCCTTGCTGGTGACCATTGGCATGGCGTCAGCATATGGGTTCCCCTCTCCCATCCATGTCAGCTAGGACCTCTGGCACAGACTGACTGGTTTCCCCTGGGGAGATGACTTACACTCCCCTCCCTCAGAAGCACAGGTGGTGTGTGGGCATAATGGCAGTGAAGGTTCACTTTAGGCCTTCTGTTTGGGAAATGATCGATATTAGTCATTTTTAGTCTGTGTCTCAACGATCACACTATGTACACAGCATTCTTACCGTTACAACCTAGAACAGCAACTGTACTATGATTCACAAAGCTTATCAGTGTATGATTATAAATTATTTTACATATGCATTTGGTGACTTCTGCTTTCTCCCAGACCGTATGCCCCCCCCCACCCGCCAGCGGCAGTCTGCTTTTTGAGGCTTTCCAGTGCCCTGCATAGCACTGACACTTAAGTCCCTGGCATTGCTGAGTGAGTGAAACAGTAGGAAGCTAAGAAGAGGTGAGAATGGAGGCTGGGAGCGGGCAAATGAGGAGCAGGATGAAGAGCAAGCTCTTGGAATCTGTGTATGAGTTTGGGTCTGGAGAGTACGTGTGTGTGGTGCCTCACTGATACTGCTCCAGGAAGGAGAAGCTAAGCAGTAGGGCCCCTTTCCCCTACCCAGGTGGAACTGTAGCCTCCTGCAGGTAGGCAATCTGCAGACTCAGGCCTCTCTGGAATCTCTAGACCCTCAAAGACCAGAAGAGCCACCAGTCAATCCCTTCAGCCCCAGACTCTCAAAAGCGAATTTCGGAATAATGTTGGTCTTTGGTTCATTTCAGGGCAATCATGGAGAGAGGATCTGACCCTTAGATACACAGGGCGGGATGTTTCCCAGCTTGTGCCCTGTCCCTGCCATCTCTAGGGCATGAGACTATCCACTACTCAGTCTCTCAGCCTCTGCTCCCTACACCCATATTCTGGGAGCAGAGAAAGGGAAATTTCTTGGGAGTCAAGAAGATCTAGGCTCTAAGCTCTACCACTCTCTAGCAAGGAGCCTTGGATCCGGTCTGCCGCTCTGAGCCTCAGTTTCCTCATTTGCACAACAGAGATGATCAGGACAATCACATGAGCAGCAAGGGTCCAGGGCTGCCACTGCTGCTCTCAAACTAGTGGCTGTGAGGCTGGGGCAAGGACTCAGTTCAGTCTCTGGGTCTTGTGCTCCACATCTGTCAAGCAGGTTGGTTTCCATAATGGTGAAGGGCCCTTCCAGCTCCAACTTGCTGGGTTCTATTCTGAGCAGAGAGCCCCACCTCTGGGGAGGGGGGACGAGAACATTCTTTCAGCTCACATTCAGCCCGGGCATATGCCTGCCCAGCCAATACCTCACATTTAGCCTGTAGCTGTTGCCACGCTGGCCACGCCCTTGGCACCAGGCCACCCCCCCCATCCCACCCTACCCCACTTGCCAGGCCCACACAGGTGGGTGGCTGCATTCTTGTGGCGCTGGAGGGTGGCTGGGAGGACAGAAGGAGACAGGAGACAAGAGGCTAGGGTGGAGGGGCAGAGGGTGGGATAGGCAGAAAGTGTGGGTCCTCGAACCCAGTGGCTTCCTGGCTGGTGGGCAGGCTGGCTCTGCCCCTTCCTATCCTACCCTACCCTACCCTACCCCACCCTACCCCTACCCTACCCTAGCAATGTGTCCTTGGGCAAGCCGCTTTCACCTCTTAGAAGCCTGTTACCTCCTTTATGAACAAATAATAATAAAAAATCCATTAGAGTGCCAGGAGGACTGAAGGGGCTTCACGTCAAGTGCAGTGCACCCCACGGAGATTTGTTCTCGGGGAGCAGGGTCCCACACCCTTCCCTCGGGCCCGGCAGTGGCAAGTTCCACCAAGGCCCTGTGGGGGCGCTTTGGCGACTTTGCCGGAGCCAGCTCCCCTGGGCTGGCTGTCTAGGGTCCTTGGCCCCGGAGCCCCAGCCCACGAGCTGGGGAGGCTGCAGCCGGGCCGCCCCCTGCCCCCCCCCCTCACCGCCTGGGCCTCGTACGAGCGCCTTTGATCTGCAACCTTCAGGGGGATTAAGAGCCTGAGAGCTCGGCTCCCCGGGGTCCCCCGCTCCCCGCCGCCCTCCCTCGGGCTGACCTCCCAGTCGGCGGCCCCGGCTGGGGGCTGGCTCCGCCGCCGGTGGTCCCCGCGCTCCGGCCGCCGCGCCTCCGGGCAGGGCCCTGGATCACCCGGGCAGCAGCCGCTCGGCGGCGGCTTCGGGAGGCCGGGGGCCCAGGGCCTGGGGGACCTGGGGACCTGGGGACCTGGGGGGCCCGGGGAGGGCGGGAGCGGAGGGGAGGGCCGGGCCGGGCGCCTCCTGGACGTTTTGGCCGGGGAATCGATGTAAAGTGTTTAAAAAGAAAAACTCTCCGGAGGAGGACGTAACCTTTTCTTAACATCTGGGGCTCAATTAGCTAATGACAGCAAAGCCTTCTCCGGTGTCGCTGACCCCTGGGCAGCAGCCCGGCTCCCCCAGCCCCGGTATTTATACAGCTGCGGCCCCTCGCTGGGACGGGGCTGGGGGTTTAGCTGGGTTATCTCGCTGGAGATCCGCCGCCCGCCCCAAAAAAAGAGAGAGAAAAGGCTTAGCACAGCGTCCCACCCGCCGGTCCCCAGCCCCCCTGGTCGCTGCTCTGCGGCCCTGCGCTCCCAGCCCCTGCGTTCTGCTTCCTCTCCTCCTGCCCCTCGCCTGCTGGGGCTCTTCTCCCCGCTTTCTGTCCTCTCTCTCGCTCTCTCTCCAGCGGCCTCCCCTGGCTCCGCAGCTCTCTGAATAGCTCCCTTGTTCGTCCTGGGGTTCCTGTCTTGCTTCCCATTCTGGAGGGCCCCCCCTCCCGGCCTCGCCCTCTCAGTGTCTGTCTGTCCTCGCAGAGGTGTGTCCTGCCCTGGGTGCTGGGCAGATAGTCCCGAGGGAGCCGCCCTAGCACTGGTGCAGAACTGGGCAAGCTAGTGGCTGGGCACTTTTGGGCTGACCCCTCCAAGTGTGAGACACTGGAGCCGGGGGCGTGGGGGAGCTGGGGTGTAAGGACTGGATTAGGGCCAGAGGGGACCCCAGGGCCCCCTAAGACACCCAGTTCTTCCAGCTCCTGGAATCTCACCTTTTTCTTCATGTCTCCAATGCAGTGCCTGTTTTGAACCAAGGCAGACTCCCTTTCCGTTTTGTATTGCTTTGGCACAGTCAAAACGGGCTGGTACAGTCAACACGAGCTTGGATCACACCAAAGTCAGGTCCTAAGGCACGGTACCAAAGCAGGGCAGCAAAGAAGAGCGTAAGATCTGGAATGAAACAAGCAGGGGTCCACTGCTAAGTGTCATTTGAGACAGTCTGTCGTCTTGGGGCAGTCACGGGCCTCATCCGTAAAATGGGTGTATTGATAGTCATCAAACAACAACGCAGTGTGCTGCTTGCCCTTACACTAGTGCACTTACGTTTTGGTTGATTTCCTGGAGTCTGTGATTTCTTTTGTGTTTTTCTTTTCTCTTTCCCTCCCCAGGATAGAGCTGTGTTCCAAAGTTGTATTTCTTACTCTCCTAAACTGACTGAAGTTTCTTTACCTAAATGTGAAATGTCTCTGACCTTTTTTCACAGAAAAATTCCTTTCCGCAGGCCTTCCTTGCCTCTTGGGCAGGACCCTGCGATTTTCGGAGGGAATGCTTCGTGAATCCACCCCAGAACCACCCGAAAAGGCCACAGGTCTCCGAAGGCAGAACCGAAACCAGAACCAGGATGTCAGCTCTACAGTCCCAGGAGACAGGAGGCCCTGGAGGACAGCGACCGCGGGGAAATCTGGGCGCCTAGAGGGGAAGGGGACAGTCGCGCCCACCCTGCGCCCCGAGCCCGCCTGGCCCTGGACGCACGCAGAAGCGGGGGCCCCGAGGCGAGGCGAAGGGCGCTGTTGACCCCGCCGCCCCGCACCGGCTCCCGCCAGGCGCCGATGCAGAGTCCCGAGAAAGCTGCGTTTGCAGGAAGACCTTCCGATCGGATCCGCTGCAGGGTGCCTTGGGCTCCTCCCCGGCTCCTCCCCCGGGCCGGCTGGGCAAGAACCCGAGAAGGTGGCAGCGGAAACCGGAGCCCGGCGCCGGGCGGCCGCAAGGGCCTCGGCCCGGAGAGCTCCGCCGCCGCTTGCCAAGGTCAGTCCCGCCGTCCCGCCCGAGGCCGCGGGGACACCGCCCCGCGCTCCCCGCAGGTGCCTGGGCGGGATGTTGAGGCCTGAGGGGCCTGAGGCTGGGGCCGATCTCCTGAGGCCCACGAAGGGCGTGGAGAGTCTCTGCCCTAGTGGGCAGAGGACGGCCAGCCGGGGTGGCTTGGCCCTCCGTGTGGCTTGGCCTCCAGGACTCCCTTAGGGACATGGCGGTGGCACTTTGGTTTCCTCTTCTGAAAAAAAAAATCCTTGGGTCGTGTTTCTTCCCAAGCTCAGGGGCTCTGTCTGCAGCTCGGGCTGCAGAGGAGAGCAGAGAGGAAGAGCAGGGCTGGTGGAGAGCAGAGTCCTCAGCACCCAGTGCCCACCCAGGCTGGGGTAGGGGGGCTTTCCCAGGGGCTTTGGCTGTGGGTCCCGTGGGAGATGGCAGCGTAGTCGGGTTTTCATGACAAGTTGGTGTGGAGTAGAGGTGGGCTGAAAGCCAAGGTGAGGTGGGCTCAAGTTGGGACTGTGGGGATGGGGGGTAAGGGGGAAAGGAGCCTGAAACCTGGGGTGCTTTGTTAGCCTTAACTCAGTGCATGGGGAGTCTTAGCGTTGCTCAGGGTGGGAACTGAGCATCCATCTGGGGTGGAGGAGAACAGGATGCAAATAAGGCGGGATTGGAGGGCAAAGAAGGTTTTCGTGGGGTCAGATGACGAGCTTGTGTCTGTCTGTACCTTGATGCAGAGTTCCCACCATGCCATGTGGTGTTACTACCCCCGTGTTACAGGTGGAGACTGAGGCCTGGAGCGGTGAAGGACCCTGCCTAGGCCACTACTGTGTGGCGGAGGGATAAAGCCCAATGGAAACCCTGGACTGTCTGCTCCCCAGTCTGGGCTACTCCTCTCCAGGGTGAAAACATCCTGACCCCCCTCAGGAGTGTCCATCTTGGGCACTGAGTCCCCCAAGGGAAGGAAGGGCTGAGCCTGCCTGGAGCCAGCTGGAACTTGGTGGGAAACCTCCAGCCACCTGAGATAAGGTCAAACCAAGCAGGGTGTGGAGGTGCACACTTGTAATCCCGACACTTTGTAAACTGAGGCAGGAGGATCACCATGAGTTCAACGCCAGCCTGGGCTACATGGTGAGTGCCAGGCCAGTTTGGAATACATAGCAAGACCTTGTCTCAAAATGCAAAAACCAAAACAATAACAAAAGATCCAACCATATGGTTTGTTCTGCAACATGTTATTTTGCTCTTAATATTTCCATGCAATAAACATGTGTACACATCCAGAGTTCTTGTGTGAGGTGGGGTAGTGCCCCTGTGCATAGATACCCATCTGTGACTTATCCAATCTTCTGCCTGTGGACATCTGTATTGTGGCCAAAGTTTTACAACCACAAGCTTCAGCGCACATCCTTGTAAGACTGTCTTCTTATGGGTGAAAGGATTTTTAGAAGATGGAAATGCCGTCAGGAGTCCAGAGTGTGCTGATGGTAAAGTCTGAGAGGCTGTGGCAGTTTATGTTCCCTCTGTCCAACCAGGATGCCTTCTCTTCCATCCTTCCCTCAGACTACTGTGTTGTGTGTGTGCTCTGCCGATCTAGTGGGTGAGTTTTTCATTTTTATTTCCCAGAGCCTGCAGCTCAGCCAAAGACAGATTAAGCCAAAGAAAGCATTGTTTGTGAAGAATCAAAGAAGGGCTCAGCAGTGAATAGCAGGGATTTGAGACAGCTCGGAGAAGAAGCTTTTGCAGCACCTGGCTCTGGAGGCACCAGAATTCCTTTCTCTGGGCAGCATGCGATGAATGACCCCAGGAAGTCTCCATGAGGCCTGGTAGCCTCAGCTCTGACGGCCACTCACAAGGTGAATCCAAGCAGCCACTCATGGGGTAAACCCTGGTTCTGCACAGGTCGAAGGGACACACAAGATGCCATCTTCAGAGAGGGCACGGTGTCCAGCTTCCTGAAAGAGTCAAAGAAAATGAAAGTCACCATGCTGGTTCTGGGTGCTAATGCAAACTGGGGAGTCCACCTTCGGAGGGGGAGCATGATGGGAAGAGACAGGAACTCCAAACTTAGCAAAGGTGGGACTCACCTCCGCCTACCAGCTCTTCCCCTTCTAGGTGTCTTCTTGAAAGAGTTCAGGACAGCATGGAGTGACACATGCACTATCCGTGTTTATAGCAGCACAGCTCGTAATAGCTGGTTCTTGGAAGGCAGGAAGAAGGGATCAAGGAAATGTATTTTTACACAGTGGAGTACTATTCTGTCACAAAGAAGGAGAAACTCGTGCCATTTGCAGGAAAATGAATGCTTGAGACCTTGAGACCATAACTTTAAGTTAAAAAAAAAATATATATATATTTATCACCTGTTTTCTCTTATATGAGGAAACCCAAAATATGAACAGCAAAATAAAAGACGGTTACTGGGAAATAGTGAGATACATCTTTTACCAAAGCAAAGGGGACCAAGGGATGAGGAGAGGGGGAGTGAGAAGAGGGAATAAAGAAAGAATTAAGAGGCAACTTTTCCCCACACCAGCTTCCCAGGGGCATGTAGTTATTATACACCACAAATGTGTACTAATAAAGAAAATTGTGAAGGAAAAACCAAACAAACTGGGCATGGCCGTGCACGCCTGTAATCTCATCGCTTGGGAGGCTGAGACAGGAGGATCATTGCAAATTTGAGACCAGGTTGGGCTACAAAGTGAGCTCAAGGCCAGTCTGAACTACCTAGAGACACCCTGTCTCAAAAAGACCAAAAAAAAACCCAAAACAAAACACCAAACAACAACACAGCTGATAGAGTACTTTCTGGATAAAGTATTGCTGTAAGTGTCTCAATTTATTGAGGAATTTTATCGTTGTCACAATTCCATGGGCTAAATGTAATGACTGTCCCATTTTGTAGCTGAGCATGTAGAGGTATAAACGGAAGTGGCTTAACCAGTAGCACATAACTACAAGCAGCCAACTGGGACTCTGGCTCAGATGTGAGGCTTTGGGTCCATCCTTCTTCTGGTCAGCACCCAGCAGGCCTCTTAGCCCATGTTAAAAGTACCCTGAACTGATTGCACGCTAGGCACACTGGTGGTGTTATTGCCACTAGCACTGACAACAAGCCTACGAAATAGAAGGTGCTTCCCTTCAAGGGCAATGAGGTGCAGAGAGGTGGCCTGCCTTGGTTAAGATGACCCAGACAGGAAGAAGCCAAGCCAATCTATGGCCTGGGATCTGGTGAATCAGAAGCCCCTGCCCTTCCCTATCACCGTGGGATCTTTGAGAACATCAGAAGAGCAGTCATGCAGCTGTAGAAGGAATATCACCTCTCAGAGCGGCTTCTCTCAGCCAGGTGTGGTGGCGCTTGCATGTAATCCCAGCATTCAGGAGGCTGAGGCAGGAGGATCACCTTGAGTTCAAGGCCAGTCTGAATTAGATAGTGACACCCTGGGGAGGGAGAAAGAGGGAGAGAGACAGGGAGAGGGAGAGAGGGAGAGAGATAGAAAGAGAGAGAGAGAACCAGGAAAAGGCTTATCTTTGCAAAGATGAGTGTGTGACTGCAACATGGATGAAATACTTGTATGTGTGCATGTGTGTTCATGTGTGTGTGTGTGTGTGCGTGTGTGCTCACTGGCCTCTTGGGCAGTGCTTGCTTCAGGGCTTCAGGGCTTCACATGATGACCTTTTTACCTTAGCGGGCAGCCCCTGGGCAGGCCATACAGTGCGAAGGTCCTGGGAGCTGTCCGCACCTTGCTGTGGAGCAGTTTCTCAGCTAGGAGAGCGTTTCTCCAGCTAGGGGATCCACTTGTAGAGTCCCTGAGTTCTTGGAATATGTTTTAGGGTTGGATTGAAAGCTCAATAATATTAAACTATTTTAGCCGTAATAAAGCTGGAAGCCTGCAGTTAAGCATTTTCATGGACTAGGATTTCAGCCCCTTCGGTTGGTGATGTTCACTGGGGGAGTTCACAGCTGGGACCCTGGGAATCGCCTCCCCCCCCTTTCTCCTCCTCCTGGCCTCCTTTCTTTTTCCTCCCCTCAGCCTCCTTTTCCTCCCTTTCCCTTCCTTCTCCTTCCCCCCCCCCCCCATCTTCCTTGTTCTTTTTCTTCTTCTCCTTTTGCTTTGAGCACTGGAGTTTGAACCAAGGGCCTTTGCCCTGAGCTGTATCATTTTGTCTCTTTATATTATTTTGAGACAGCCTTGCTAAGATGCTGGGTTCAGATGTGATTTTCCAGCCTCAGCCTCCCAGAATGATGGGATATAGGCCTGGGCAAGCACACCCGGGCACCTGCTTGCTTCCTTGCTTCTCTCTCTCTCTCTCTCTCTCTCTCTCTCTCTCTCTCTCTGTCTCTCTCTGTCTCTCTCTCTCCCTCCCCCCCTCCTCTTTCTTTTTATTAGTACATGTTCATGGCATGTAATGATTACATTTACTGTGGGGGGTTGGTACAGGTACACAAAACATCTCAATTCTTTTTATGACCCCTCTCCTTCCCTCCTCATTCCTGCTTTTTCTTCAAGAGCACTTATATTGTGTAGGTTTGGGGGACACTGGACAGACATGAGCTCAGTCACAACAGGTGGCCAATGTGCTGGGACCCCACGGATCTGGGTTCTGGTCTTGGCCACTTGACCCCAGGGCTCCTTGGTTCTGCAGGTGCAAAGTTCTCAAGCTCACTCTGAAGTTCTCCGCAGCAGCAGCAGCAGCAGCAGCGGTGGCAGCACTGCCCACCAGGCCTGCCCAGCTGCTGACAGAGCTGGGAGACAAATGTACTCCAAGCCCAGGCTGGGCGGGGCAGCCGAGGTGTGAAGGCGCTGAGTGGACGCCTTCCTGGCTGACAGTTCAGGGCGGGGAGCACTTGTGTGGCAGAGGGGAGATGAAGCCCGTGGGAGTCCAGGTCAGGAAGGGGCTTTGTGGTAGACCTGGCTCCAAGCTGAGCCAAGGCCAGGGAGGGTGAGAGGCCGAGCCGTCCTGCAGGCAGGAAGGATGGAGAAGTGGGCGGGTGGGGTGCGCTCTGGCAGAAAGCCAGGTGAAGAGTACATTTGGGGGGCTGGGCCTAGAGTTGGAGAGCCTTGGAGACCATCTTGGCCACCTCTTGGTGGGCCAGGGAAACATCACGAGGCCTTAGTTGGTTAAAATGTCTCAGGATCACGTAGCACGCAGGAGCCGTGCGCATGGCAAGGAGGCAGGCAGGGATTTTTTCAATCTGAGCTGAGTTCTCAGCCTTGAGAATGTTTTGAGGGGTTCAAGTGAAGCTCTGTTTTCCATCATGCACTCCATGAAGCCCAATGTGGACTCTAAGGACCTCCCTCTCTCTCCAGCCCCCAGGGTTCCTGAGGTTCTCTAGCCCACAGGCCTGGGGGCATTTCACTTTTATGTGTCCTCCAAGGAACAGCCACATTCTGGGGGTGCCCTATGAGGAGGGAGGTCTTCAGCCAGCCCTTCCCAGCTCCTAGTGCAGGGTGGCGGTAATAGAAGTGGAAACTGAGGCTGGAAGGAGCTGTGAAAGCCAGACCCTGCAAAAGGCCTCCTTGACCTCACTGCACACAACTTCCAGGTTAGGGGCAGCATGGATTTCAATACTCTGCAGCTCATGGGGGCTCTGGCTTGCAGTCTTAGGCAAGAACAGCTGGCCTCCACTTCCTCGGTCATGGGAGACTCTCTTTCTGGTCTACCCTGTAGGCAGAGAGGGTCCTTACTACCCCACGACTAGCATGGTCATGATCCCCAAACAATGCCTTGGAGTCTTGTGCCTTCTTCTTTCTTCTTTTCCTTACGGAAAGAACTGGCTAGTGTGAGTGTCCACCCTAGGTCCCCAAAAAGATGGCTGTGAAACCCAGAGCTATCACAAGTTCTGCTGGGAATGTGCTCCCTGCAGTCCGTGTGTTGGAAACCCAAAGCACAAATGCACATTAGTGGCCTTTGCATGTGGAGCTTTTTTATTAGGGTTAGGTGAAATCATAAGAGTTGGGTTCCAATGATACCATTAGTGGGTTTATAAGAAAAGGAAGGGAGACCCAGCCTTGCACACTTGCTCTGACTCACCACACTATTCCATCTACCGTGGGTAGCAGGAGGCCTCTGCAGATGTCAAGTGGATCCTAGCACAAGACTCTTAGCAACATCTGGAATCATGACCTAAACAAACCCGTCCTCTGCGAAAGTTTCCTGTCCCATGGTATTTTCTTATAGTAACAGAAGACAGACAGGACACCAAGTGTCGTCTAGGTGATCACCACCACCACCACCATCACTATCACCACATGTCCATCTCTACCACTACACTTTCCATCACCGCCACCACAACCACCCCCTTCATCTCCGCCATTCCCGCCACCTCCACATGCACCATCAATGTCTCTGCCACCCTCATTGCCATCCTGTCCACCGTTTCCACCGTCACCACCATCTCCTTGGTCTCTGTCTCTATTACCATCTCGACTAGCATTATTCCCTTCTCTTCAAAACTTCTCTGCCACCGCCACCACCACCACCCACTGTCATCTCCGCCATCACCCCTCCTGTCACCTCCTGAGGCTTGAATCACCACGGAGAGCACAGTTACTTCCTACCTCTGCCCATCACACACCCATAAAAAACCCTGCTGCTTAGGTGAATCCCTCAGACCGCTTCCAACTGCCCAACCCCAGAAAGGCCAACTGTGGTCTCTTTGTTCCTGATTTTCTTCCCTTGAGACTTCTCGTGGAAGATGAAATTAAACGCCTTGCTCTTTAAGTTAAGGAAGATTATGTGTCTCTTGCCGTTCCTGATTTACCAGGCCCATCATTCTGTCCTAGAAGGAAATTGGATTACTCTGACAGAATGTGTTCTTTGGAAGGCAGTGCTGGTTATTACCTAATTCCTTATGACCTAGTGTTTGCAGATTGATTTTTTGACGACGTGTCCCAGTAGTTTTCTATTATAGCAGCTCAGTTGATAGGCCCAGCACTTTTAGAGGCATCTGCTTTCTCCTGGGTTTAAAGAGAAGCAGGGACAGCCTGCCTGGGTCTCTCCTCCTCTCATCTCCAGGCCTCTCACCAGTTCTCCATAAATCCCCTCGGAGTGCGAGCTAGTGATTTGACTCTGACTTGGGCCAATTCCTTAAGTACCTAGGCATGTAAGCCATCAGGGCCTGTGAAGTGCATACACAAGCTCTTTCCTTATGCTCTTGGCTTTCTGCCCTCTCATGATTCCACGTGGTGCGTCTTTCAGATCACAGCTGACCTTTTTAGGCTAAGGAAAAATTAAAAGCCTCTGCTTTTTAGTGGCATGGCTTTATAGATGTTCTCTCTGCCCCAGCTAGAAATGAGCCAACAATCTCCTTAGCCCCCTTGCTTTGGCCTGTTATAGTCAGAAAACGTTTTTCTCATTCTTTTGCTGCCTGTGCAAGTTAGATCTCATTTCTTTTTCTGAACCACTCTTGTGATTTTTATCTCCACGGCCTTTTGTTATTTCTTTGTGTGTACCCCTCCTTCGTAACCTGGCCTGATTTCTACTTTCTCTGGCATGTCCATTATCATGTTAGCTCGCTGGGAAGCTTTCTGCATAACTGACAAGGAATTTCGGGGTCCCCTTAAATTGCTTATTCATCAGGAGAGTTTCATTCTTGCTCGCTTTGCTGCCTTCTGTGGAAATGCCCAGTTCTCCCTAGAAAGTGTCTGTGGTTCTCAGACTCAGCCTTTGTTCCTTTCATCCATTCCCAGGGCTGTGCAGGTCTCTAACGAGCAACCATATCTCAATCTTGTTTCATCGCCTGCCTGCCTTTCTTCCTTTCTTGCAGGTGGTGGTGGTGGTGGTCTTTTCAATACACCCCGGGTGTTCCAGGGGCTTTGCTGTGTGTGTCGAACCTAGTGAGCACCTGCTCCCCAGGACCCAGGCTCAGACACCTCAGCGTAGAAAGGACCAGCACCTGCTACCTGGTGCCCAGTGTGTGGGCAGGGACACTTACAAGGGGGATGTGGCCATGCCACGTGGCTCCTCCATTCACAGCCCCCGTCCCTCATTCTAGGCCCTCTTATTTCCTCCTGCTCCTTTACTTTTGACCCAGGGCCCTGCCAGCTCTGGGCTCGCATATGAATGAGCCTTCCGTTCCACTCTCAGATGCATAATGAAGTCTCTGCCTAGCCAAGGCACAGACCTGGAGTCAGGTCAATTCTGCAGAAGGTGGTGGTGAGTGCGAGGCATGCAGATGCGGGGTGCGGGTGATGGGCTCCACCTGTGTCCAGGAGGCTGTGCTGTGAAAGCCACATTCAGGTGGGGTCTCTAGATAGAAGCACACTGCAGGAGGAACAGGGTGTGCTGTGGTGATGGCAGAGAGGCCATCAGGGATAGCCACCTGGGGCAAACCATAGCTCTGTAGCTTGGGAAAGCCCAGGGGTTCCCAACTGTCCACTGATCTGGACAGGTCATGTCATGATGGTCCCGCCAAGGTCCCTTTCACTGTCTCCCTGGGATTCCAATGATCCCACTGCCATCTGCTGTCACCTCCAGATTTATTTCTTCCAAGAAGGCGTCTCCATCCAACCTGGGCAACCCTGAGAGGAAGCTTGGAATCTTGTCCCTTCCTTTGCATAACAGAGGTGACAGTAGGAAGTCTCCACCGGTTCTTCAGGCTTCCCCCACACAGGGCTGTCATCCTCTACCTCAGGATCCTTTCGATTCTGTATCAAATTTATTCTGTGAAGAAACACTGAAAGGCACAGATTAGCAACAACGTTAACACACCTCACCAAACGCATGTGTAAGCCCATCAGTGAGTTAACCCTGTTGACCTTCCCATGTAGCTCTTCCCAGCTGAGTATAATTTCCTGTAACAAAACATGCAGTTGGCAACATGGTTTTAAACAGTTTCCTAGGACTGGGGATGTAGCTCAGTGGCAGAGCACTCACCTAGATGCGTGAGACGCGTGTGAGGTCCTGGATTCAATACTCAGCACCTCAAAACAAAATAAAAAGAAAGTATTCCACTGTGCAACTGAATCAACCTTCCGTATTCAAACCCAGAAGTTGCAAGACTGAATAAAAATGAAGAAGGGCCTCTGTGGACTCATTTTCCGCTTCCTCTGTGTTCCTTTGGAGCCCAGGGTTTGAAAGGCTGCAGAAAAGCACACTGGTCCTGAAGCAGGGAGATGCCAAGTTTGAACACTGGCTCTTTCACCCTTGTGTGTGCGGCTCTCAGATCTGCCCGCACGCCTGAGCCTCATCTTATTTGACAGTTTGTGAAGCATTTAACCCAACCGAGCGCTCACCCTTCCTGGCTTCCCTTCTTCCTCCACCTCAGCGAGCAGCCTTCCAGCCTGCTCTTCCTCCAGTTTCCAGGACGGGAACTTTTCCCTCCGAGGGGCACTTAAAGGTTGGTTCTCCCCCAGAGCTCTGTCCTTGGCTCCTTCCCACCTTGTCACGCTTGGCTTGTCCCCTTTGGATGACCCGTCTCGTTCCATGCGAGCTTTCTGGCCTGCCTCCCTTTCCTGAAACCTAGATCTACGGATTCGACAGCCCACGAGTGTTGCCATCAGAAACTCAGAGTTTCCACATCTGAGCTCACTTTTCCTTCCCTTCTTGGGGCCTCTTCTTGGGTTCCCGGTCTCAGTCCCCCAAGCCAGCAGCTGGGAGTGTTCTGGAGTTCTCTCCTTCCCTCTCCCATGTGCCGGTGCCAAATCCAGTCCCCCCAACAGTCACAGCCCCTCCCTGCACCCACATCTACTCTTGGGGGCTTTCTCCTGGATTTCGCCCGCAACCTTAAAATTTTTGAGGTGTAATTTGTATACAATAAAATGTACATATTGAAGTATACAATTGATGAATCTTAAAGAAATTCATTATATCCACATAGACACTGTTCCAAAGAAGATACAGGGACAGTCACCATCCCTGGCCATTCCCTTGACCCTTCTCTGTCAGCCCCTTCCCCATGGGAAAATCTGTCCTCCAATTTTTTCCATAGATTACCTTTGCCTCATCCGTAGAACTTTTATCCACAGAATCCTAGAGCCTGCATTCTTCTACTTAGCAGAAAGGTTTCGGGATTCCTTGTGTTGTCACCACAGTCTTGAGAGGTGTTTATTCAAGCTAATCTCTGGTGAAAACTTTTCAGGGCAGTCCCATCACCCAAATTCCAGAGCCCTGCACGATCTGGCCTCCCCTCCAACCTGTCCTCCCCGTTAGCTGGACTCTTTGAGAATACAGAGCCATTTGTTCACCTGCACAAACAGCTTTGCAGAGGCTGGAATCCCTCATTGCCAGAGCAGTTTGCCTGGCGAACTCCTACACACCTGGCAGCCCTCCTCTGGGATTCTGGGAGGCTTATCTCCGACCTGTCCCCAGCCCAGGACAAAGTGACAGTCAGTTTCATTGTAAAGCACTGCTAGTCCCCTGGAAACCCTGCCTCTCCCTGACTGAGCAGGTCTCTTTCTTGGTGCGACTCCTGTGTCTTGTGTGTCATTTATCTTTGTCTTCTGTGTGATTAGGTATTTATGTTAGCCCTTAGTTATACTCTGAGGGAAAGATTCATTCAGTTTCCAGAAATTCTCCCTGTAGAAGACAATCTTATTGCCTCCCCAAGAGCCATTCCCTGTAATCTTCTTTGCCAACAGAGCCTGCTGCTGTTCAAACAACCACGTGTTTGGAGATATCTTTGCCATGATTGGAGGAGGAATGGTCTAGTTCTGGCCAAGGAGAGAGAAGGAAGACATTTGAAGGGGGAAAAGTTTTTCTCCCGGATAACAAGAGTGGTAAATGCCTTCTTTTGCATCCCATCCCTCTCCTCTTGTTTGGGGTTCTATCATGTGTGGGGTGATGTTTGGAGTTTTAGCAGCCATCTTGTGACCATGAGGCCAAGACCTACAGACATACAGATATATCAATCCAGTGCCCCAATACAAGCAGGTATCAAATTCCCCCATCTTCCAACTTCCTGTTATGTGAGATAATTAAATGAGTTTCCTGCTTAAGGCACAATTTGTTGGATATCCTGATATCTGCAGTTGAAGGCATTCTTCACTGATAAGTTTTGTAAGTAATCTTATTGAGATCATTGTAGAACCTGTGAATTTTTATGAGAGATTGAGTCACTGATCATCCAGGTGATGGCGCAGGGCAATTTTCTCAGAAAGTGACCAGGTCATGTCCATCTTGAGTGGCTGCCTCCCATTCCTGTCTCTTGGCCTCTGACCTCCCTGAGCAAAGGGCAAAGAGCTTCCTTTCTTGGGCTCTGTCCAAAGCTCTCCATCCATCTCCTTTCCCGCCCACTGGAGCTGGGGAGTGAGCATTTCAGCTCCTGGATTTCCTCCTTAGCAACTCATGAGAAAGGCACTGAGATGAATTTTGTTGGAAAATTGAAAAGCAGGTTGGTAAAACCCTGATGAAGACCACACTGTGAGTCATGAGGCACCCACGGCCACATCCTCCAGACTTGCTACTGTCACGCCTCGGTGCCTGGCCTCCCTGGGCTTTAATCATGTCAGCATCAAGCAGGTGGTGCAGGATTCCCTGAGCTAACAGGAGCGCTGAAGCCGAGACTGGCTTGGCCAAGCCTCCTCGGAAGCAAGGGTCTGGCTCTGCCCACCCAGCCTTCCTTCCCGCTTCCTCCGAGTGCCAGATCCACATCGAGTCTCAACCGTTCTCACCTCTGCTGGCTCCCACCCTTTTCCCTGCACAGATGTTTTCCCCAATAAATCTCTTACAAATCTAATCCTGTCTTGGGGTCTGGCTTCTTAGAGGACCTGGACTAATGTGCTTTGGTTTTTAAAGCCCTCAGAGTCACCCTGGTAGCCTGTCTATAAAGCACCTGGCACACTGGGTTATTTCTGTTTTCCTCTCTGAATGCAGGATAACAGTAGCTATATGGTGAAGCCACTCCTGTGTCCCAGGGGAGCAAGACAGGCCACCCTGTGACCAGGAGAACGCACACGCACCTGGAACCTATATATCTGGAGGTTCAGAGAGGCTGAGAGACACACTTGAGGGTACACAGCTCATGTGTGAGTGCACATTTCACATATGCATGTATGCATACACACATCTCACGGGGAGAGGAAGGCGGGGTGGCCAGACACGGGTCAGGACGCAGTGTGGCGCAGGCAAGGGCATGTGGAGAGCAGCCCTTTCCTGCCCCTCCCGGCTGACTTCCCATGGCCACTCTGTGTGTGTTTTCGTGCCATGGCAACGACTGTGAAGGTGAAGCTTAACCTTAGGATACTGGGCAGCTAAACAGCCCTAGAAGATCCCAGATCCATGGCTTTCCAGCCTTGATCCAGCCTAGAGACGCTGCCTAGCTCTGCCTCAGACATCGGAAACACCTTTTCCGGCTCAGGCTTGCTGCCCACCCAGCTGCTGGGCTCCCCTGGGCCATCCTAGCTCTGACTCTGGAGGGCTCGTTTCTCATCTCTTCTGCCGTTTGTCTAAATCCTCTCCATCTCTAAGGTTGAGTTCCAATCTGACCTCCTCCCGGAAGCTCTCCCTGATTTCCCTGGTCTACAGTGACACCATCTTCTTCCTCGGAGCTTGCCTAGCAGTTGCAGCTTGGTCTGCAGCAGTGCTGTCGGGACAGCTGAACACTGTCACTACCTAGTTCAGACTTCAGGCCAGAGCGGCTGCGGCTACAGGACCAGAAGGCTCCCACGGCTTTCTAGCTGGCAGGACCTGAGGTGAGAGGTGGGAGCAGAAGCTTCTCAGAGCTGTGGTGAGGATGAGAGTGCCTACCTTCCTGCTTGCTTTGAGGACAACTGATGTAAGGTACTGTGTCAGTACTTGACGCAGCAGTACCCGCCTTCTCCATGCTGTTCAGCCCTCTGGACGTCCAAGCTACCTGGGTAAAACACTGTTGTTCCCTGAGGCCCTTCCAAGTGCTCACTCCTGGACCACAGAGGTGAACCGGGTATAGGCTTTGCCCTCGGAAAGGGTTGAAGTCAGGGGATGCATACAGGACACATAATTTATAGTATCATTTATAATGGTCACCCAGAGTTAAATGCAAGAAAGTGTAGGAAATCTATACTGAAGACCTAGAAAATCCAACCGAGGGCCTGGGTCCCACACCAATGTCCATGAGTCCAGCTGAAGAGCTAGAGCCCATGACAGTGCTTCTCATGAGTCCAACTGGAGACCTGGAGTCCATGACAATGAATCATGCAAGTCTCTTTTACAAATCTATCCTGGGAGGCCCAAAAGTCAGCGGTGGAAACTAGAAAGTCTATGACAGTGGGGTGAAGGAGCTGTGCCAGTAGGTTGAGGGTTCTACACTGGAGCCAAGAAGCAATGCTCAAAATAAGGACCAGGGCTTCCCCCCAAAATACCACAGCCATCCTCAGCGACAATGAGGTCCTGAGCTCCTCATATCAGTAAGTCAGCAGGACGAGCTTCTCCTGGGGATTAAACAGCACACATCTTTCCCTCTGGAGCCAGGAAATGATGCTCAACCTCAGGACCAGAGCTCCCCCAAAGTGAACCACAGCCACTCTCAGCGACAAGTTCTGAGCTCCTCCAAGGATAATAGCTGAAGTCACATCAGGGGAGCCAATGTGACAAGCTCCTCCAGGAGAACCAATGACTCCAGAGAATAACAACACAGGAGAACCCACAACGCTTCTCTTCCTCTCCAGGTCTCCTTTGTATGCTGGCAGCAGCCCTCAGATGGGCCATCCACACTCAGCACCACACCACCAGTTACCAATCCACTACAGAAAGTGCACCCCCATTTTGCCTGACCCCCGAGCTGGTAGCTCAGAAGCTCATGAGCAGTAGAACTGGACTCCGGAGCAGAATGAGATGTCAAAAGGCCTTGTGTAAGCAGAGAGCCCCCAAGACGTGAGGAGTCCTTTCCACCCAAAGAGTCCTGCAAACTCAATGTTGCGCTGACCGAACACAGAAGGAGTTTGGTTTTTTGATGAAATTCCACAGCCAATTCTGAAATGAGTCCGGGAGAAGCCAAGGAATGTTTGGCAAAGCACCCCATGAGGAGAGACTTGTCCGATCTCACATCCAAACAGTCCCTGGCAGGACTGATGTGGAGGGTGGCAGGCAGGCACAGGGTGAGGACACAGGACAGGGGGCTGCGAAGAGGGTTTTTCAATGGAAAGCAATTCAGGATATGAGAAAATAGCAGTAGACAGTATTTTAGTTATAAATAAATTCTAGGAATTCTATGTATAGCTTATGAACATTTAATAATCCTGAATTGTATTCTTTTTTTGTTTGTTTTTGTTCTGTTTTGGTTTTTGTCTTTTTTGAGACAGGGTCTCACTATGCTGTTCAGGTTGGCCTTGAACTGGTCTTCAAATGATCCTCCTGCTTCAGCCTCCCAAGTGCTGGAATTGCAGGAGTGCACCACCACACCTGGCTTTTTTTAGTACTTGGAATTGAGTTTAGGACCTCATGCTTGCCAGGCAGGTGTTGTGCCTCTGAGCTATATCCCAGCCCTGCATTGTATTCGAGCAGTTTGCTGAGAATAAATCTTGGGGTTCTTATCACACACACACACACACACACACACACACACACACACACACGCATGCATGCACACACATGTACACACACAAAAAACTATGTAAGGTGATGGATGTGCTAATTAACTTGATTGTGGTAATCATATTGCAATGTAATCTATATCAAATTATCCCACTGTGTACCCTAAATGTGCATGTATATGTATATAATTTGTCAGTTATATATCAATAAAGCTGGGAAAAGAAGCAGCAGGAGAAAAGTAAAGCCATAAATATCGTAGAGACAATTGGCTATCTTCGTGCAAAAAACAAAAGCATAAAGTTAGATTCCTGCTTCACACCATTTGCTAAAATACATTCCAGATGGATTAGAAAGTGAAATGTAAAATACAAAGCTATAAAACTATTAAAAGAAAATATAGGAGAATTTGTTTGTAACCTTGGGGTAGGAAAGGCTTTCCTTAGTGAGATATAAAACACAGAAACCATCAAGGAAAAGATTGCTAAATGTGATTATATCCAAATTTAATACTGCTGCGTGACAAAAGACCCCATAAATATGTTAAAAAGACACAGTGAGAGACTAGAAGAAAGTATCTACAACATATGCCACAGAAAAGGATCAGCGCTTAAGCTCTATAATGAATTCCTACAAACAAGTAAAAGACAAATAACCTGAAAGGAACAATGGCTGATTGGAACAGCCAGTTCACCTACAAATTGCCCACTAACATATGAAAACATGCCAAGCCTCATTATCAAAGAAATGCAAATAAAAACAACCCTGAGGTAATACGGTTCACCTATCCGTTATGCAAAGTTTTTAAGGATTTATCAGAGCCACTGTTGGGAGGAATCTAAAAGTAAGGAACACCTGCGTCAGGGGTGGTTAAGCTAGGAGATCGCCATGGTGTTTATGGATCTGGCTTATTCAGATGTGAAATGTCCTAAACCTTCACAGGGAGCCTGTCCAAGTCTCTGCCTGGAGAAATGTTCTGGGTGCGCCTGAGGCACACTCACCTGGGCGGAGTGGGGCGGAGGACCCCATGAGGAGAGACTTGTGGATCGGGGCTCGGGGTGGCCACAGTGACAGAAATGGGAAGGAACGATCAGAAACAATGGGAATGCTCTTTGGTAAGGGAGGGATTAATGCACTTTGACTCTGTATATCGGTAATGGTTTGAGGGGCTCCAAACAAACGAGGGAGACTTCTGTTGTGATCCTGAAATGAAACAGGTCACAAAGCAGGATGCTGTGTCCCTATAAATGTGGAGGTGGGCTTCAAAAGCCTCCCGGAAGGGCCTATGCCAGGCTGATGATGCCCAGGGAGGGGAGTGAGCGTATGGGGGAGCCAGCAAGAACTTTATCAGAATTATTTTTGCAGTGTAATAATAACACAATCAAAATAGCTAGAAAAGCCAGCTGTGATTTGAGGTTTAGCAGTTTATGTCCCAACTTTTCAAGCCCTGCTCACTGTAGCTGCCCTGGGCCTGAGGTTCGGCTCTCAGATCTTGTTCCTGACTCCATGTGTCCCTGACCCCTCACTGCCGCCTCGACCCTAGGGTGTTAGTCAGGGTTCTTGACCTGTGCTACTTGACATTCTTGAATCCTGGTGCTTATGAGTCAGGAATACTGGGGATAGCCCAGGAGGGGACATGGGCCTGAAAAGGATATAGCTGGAAAAAGCAAGGAAGGCTTTTCACTGGAGCTGTGGCTAGAAAGATGAGACAATTTTCATCCTAATCTTCCTCTTGATTATGTTAAATACCGTATGGCACTTTCGCAGACATGTTGAATAACAAAGAATAACTATCACCCATAATCCCATTAGCCAAACAGTGTTTATGAATTTCCCTGATTCCTTGTCTATAAGGCATGTATCACTGAAGCATGCAATCCAAATAATGTATTTTGATTATATGGTTTCAGAAAATATAACATTGTATCATGGGCCCTTCGTGACATTATTAAGTGACATTTATAACAGGCAACTTTTAATGGTAGTGCAATATGTCATCCAGGGAGCATCCTGTGATATAATTACCCGCTCCTCTATCATTGGTTATTGGGGTTATTTTTTACTACTAGTGCTGCAGGGAGGATCCTTGAGCCCGTTAGGTATTTCGCTCTTTTTCCCCCCTCTTTTTTTCCTTTTGGGAATCTTTCCTTGGAACAAATAAATGCTCAGAAGTGGAAATACTGGGTCGAAATTTATTAACACTTTTATGGCCCTTGAAACGCGTTGCCA